TGGAAAGTAAGCTAAAAGGAAACTGAGAGACAAATAAACAGACGATAAGGACATAGCATGACTCAATTGAGTAATCCCCAAACCTGAAACCTTAGAAAAAGTATCATTAGCAAGGGTAACACTATGTGGAGAAGTAACAGAACAATAAGTAAAAAATACACCAGACAAACCAATCAAGTGATCAGAAGCGCCGAAGTCTATGGCCCAAGGACTGCATGTAGACGACAGTAAACAAATGAAAGCGGTACCTGACTGAGCAAAAGTAACAATGGGAGATGGAAAAACCTGCTGCCAAGCCACGAACGAGCATACGAGCATACTCCTCTCGTATGATAATGACTAACTTAGAGTCAGACAGAACAAACCATGATACGAGAGTAGATAGAGAGAAAGTGGTAGTGTCTTGCTTGGATTCCATAGTAATATAACAAGTAGGAGCACCCAAATAAGAACAAAGGTGAGAAAAGACCTTAAGAATAGCACGGAATAGCAGAGTAGGGAGGCTGAACAGGACAAAAGAGGCAACTGGAACGCTGAACCACACTGAAAAAGCTTGCTGGACCGCTGAACCGTACCAAAACCAACTGCTAGACCATTGAATCGGACTGAACAAGCCTGCTGGAATGCTGAACCAGACCAGAACCAACTACTCGACCACTGAACTGGGCTAAATAAGCCTGCTGGAACGTTGAACCGGACTGACCAAGTTTGCTGGAACACTGAACCGAACCAGAATCAACTGCTGGACCATTGAACCAGACCAGAACTGGTCTGAAAGGGCTGAGCTAGAATGAACCGATCCTAAACCGGTCTGAGAAAAGGTGAACTGGTCCTGAACCGGTCTAAGAAAAAGTGAACTGAACCGGTCTGAACCTGAACCCAGTATATGTTGGGCTCACTTGAGCTGGGCTAAAGTCCTGAAGGTTTGGGCTTGAACTGTGGGCCTTGGATTGGACTGGGCAATTAATTTAGTTTGTGGGCCAGTAAATAATTGGGCAAAGGGCATTTAATTGAGGATTGGGCTGAGCCCTCTGATGGGTTATAATCAAATGAATCGACCTAGTTCCCAACGGACTTCGTCTTCTCCACGTAGAAGGGTTCTGTTGAACCCTAGCTGCTGCAGACGGCGTGCAACACTAGGCCAATCCCAGGCCACGACAACTACTTCCAACCACCGGTGACCACCACAACACACCCAACGAAGCCACTAGTGACAACACAACAATGGAATTAAGTAGAGTAACAACAACTCGATCACTACGCCTCAACCAAAGCACACCAGCAGCCACACCAGAAATACCAAACAACTCTGGCAGCGACAAAGGCACCATACCAGACCATTGGTGACAAGCATCAACACAACCAATACACAAATGACGACAACCACTGGAATCCAATACACGAATGACGATCACCACTGGTAATCACAACACAGAGGCAACCACAACACAACGGCTACCACGATCATAGACTACGACACACGTCGCAACACAATGACGACATACGTCACCAACAGCAATTACAGCCCACACCTAATCACAATTGACCTCCACAACACACTCACAAGGAGTCCAACGTTAAACCATCACCTACGACCCTAGACCATGGTCGTGGGGTTACACTGTATGCTGAATCAGAGTAATGAAACAGAAACATAAACGAAAAAAAAAAAAAAAAGAGAAGAAAAAAATTCTTAGATCAAATTTTGGGTCAATCGTACTCTGATACCATGTTAAGTTTAGAGAATTAACACAATATTAGAGAAACGGTGAATGATCAAAAACTTAACCTACCTCTCACTAATAACTTGTATTTATAGTTATCTCGTAAACATACAAATAATGGATATACCCTTAAGAGATAACAACATAATAATAATACTCTCAACACCTCTAGGTGGGTCCATCTCGCCAGTAACTAGTACCTAAAAATACAAACTAGTACAACAGAAATTGATCTTTAGTCTTTTAACTTTGATATACCATAAACTCTTCAAAGAGTTCCTTTTTTCCACTTCTAATTACCATATAGCAAAAGGTCAAATTCAAATTTTATGTCCCACTTCATCCAATACTTTTTATTTCTTTTTTTCCTTTTTCGGATTATTACCATATATTTTTCACCATACAATTCAACAAAACTATAAGGGTTAACTCTATTTCAACCCCTTGTGGTTTGGACATGTAGAACTTTATCTTTCATATTATCCAAAATATAACCACATAGTTCTATTTTGGACTAAAGAGAAACGGTTACAAACTTCGTTCAAATTAACAAAAATTAAGACACGTGCCTAATTTGAGAGCTAGGAAGCACGGCTATTTCCCGAAGGGTGTCGTGACAGTGTCAGACACGTGTCCGACACAGTTAGAAGTGTCTTAAATAGTGAACTCAGTCGGACACGGTCAGAACATGGATAGGATTATTTTTAAAACAAAACAACTGTTAACTATTAAGAGGGGTGTGATTTTTTTATTTATTTTTGTTTTTTATGTGAATTGTGGACCATGAATACTAATGGATATGATATTCAATGAAAATAGTGGATGTTCATTTTGATCTATTTTAATTTTAATCAAAAAATAAATATTTATTAGGTCTTATTATTAATATTATTATAAAATGTTTTGTTTTTAATACAATATAATTTTATTCTTATCTAAAAAATATATAATATTATTTTAATTAGTCGTATTCTTGTTGTATCATGTCCTATATTTTCAAACTTTGTCGTATCTCCATGTCTACATCGTATTGGATACAACAACCGTGTCCATATCTATGTTTCCTAGTTTAAGAGTTGGCGTGCGAAAAAATTGAACTAAAAGCCTAATTGTACTACAAAAAGACATAAATACGAAAAGAACATTAATAACCTCTCCTTCCTACTACGTCTNGAGTAATGAAACAGAAACATAAACGAAAAAAAAAAAAAAAAGAGAAGAAAAAAATTCTTAGATCAAATTTTGGGTCAATCGTACTCTGATACCATGTTAAGTTTAGAGAATTAACACAATATTAGAGAAACGGTGAATGATCAAAAACTTAACCTACCTCTCACTAATAACTTGTATTTATAGTTATCTCGTAAACATACAAATAATGGATATACCCTTAAGAGATAACAACATAATAATAATACTCTCAACACCTCTAGGTGGGTCCATCTCGCCAGTAACTAGTACCTAAAAATACAAACTAGTACAACAGAAATTGATCTTTAGTCTTTTAACTTTGATATACCATAAACTCTTCAAAGAGTTCCTTTTTTCCACTTCTAATTACCATATAGCAAAAGGTCAAATTCAAATTTTATGTCCCACTTCATCCAATACTTTTTATTTCTTTTTTTCCTTTTTCGGATTATTACCATATATTTTTCACCATACAATTCAACAAAACTATAAGGGTTAACTCTATTTCAACCCCTTGTGGTTTGGACATGTAGAACTTTATCTTTCATATTATCCAAAATATAACCACATAGTTCTATTTTGGACTAAAGAGAAACGGTTACAAACTTCGTTCAAATTAACAAAAATTAAGACACGTGCCTAATTTGAGAGCTAGGAAGCACGGCTATTTCCCGAAGGGTGTCGTGACAGTGTCAGACACGTGTCCGACACAGTTAGAAGTGTCTTAAATAGTGAACTCAGTCGGACACGGTCAGAACATGGATAGGATTATTTTTAAAACAAAACAACTGTTAACTATTAAGAGGGGTGTGATTTTTTTATTTATTTTTGTTTTTTATGTGAATTGTGGACCATGAATACTAATGGATATGATATTCAATGAAAATAGTGGATGTTCATTTTGATCTATTTTAATTTTAATCAAAAAATAAATATTTATTAGGTCTTATTATTAATATTATTATAAAATGTTTTGTTTTTAATACAATATAATTTTATTCTTATCTAAAAAATATATAATATTATTTTAATTAGTCGTATTCTTGTTGTATCATGTCCTATATTTTCAAACTTTGTCGTATCTCCATGTCTACATCGTATTGGATACAACAACCGTGTCCATATCTATGTTTCCTAGTTTAAGAGTTGGCGTGCGAAAAAATTGAACTAAAAGCCTAATTGTACTACAAAAAGACATAAATACGAAAAGAACATTAATAACCTCTCCTTCCTACTACGTCTCTTATCTCCCTCCTTTCTTCTCCCTTTTCCCTCCTCTGTCTTTCCATAACACAAGGCTCTTTTGTTATGGTCTAAATAATTTATGTAGTAATTATTGATTAATATAAGTATTATGTATTTAACTTTAACAAAAAATCAACTGACAACAAAATCCATAATTACATGATTTGAATCTGCTATATAAAATAAAAGTGGAAGTTCGATTTGCTTTCATTGTTTTGAATCTTTTGATATATGTAGGATTAAATCTTTCCTCATTTTTTCAATCCAGCAAAATGCACAGACTTCCGACAAGTACTTAAAACAATTACATGACATACTTGGAGTTAATTTCAAACCCAAAAGTAAGATGCATTATTTAATCTCTTCTGCTTGATGTGTGAGCTCCAGAATCCAGATTCTCGGTGAACTAAGGGTCTTGTTTGATACAGTGAGAAGATAACCTATGTACACGACACCAAGCAAAAATAAGCTTTGGCCGTGCTGGCTTGTAATGCCACAAAAAAGTTTGCCTTCAAAGGCCAACCTATGATGACATTTTGCTTTTGTTTTCTTTTTCCAAAATGCTATCTGGAAAGTGTACTACCATCATCAAAAAAGTTGAACTCTCCTTCAAATTCAGTTTTACACTCAAAATTTTCCACTTGTCCAGAAATATGTACTCAACTGATGAAAAGGCCAGATTCAAAATTTATGTATTTATCTGAAATGAAAATTCTTAGCAGCTATCAGACACTAAGTTCATCAAATTTGTGTGCTGCTAGAAGCAGCCACATGCATGGCATGCACCACTATGACTTGACAGAAACCAAAAACGAAACATGAAAAGATAAGTCATAAGTATCACCTATGCGCTAACTGGGCATAATCATCTTCTGACTCATCATCCTCGTGATTCACATTCATAAGAGGTGCAACTGGAGTTTCCATTAGTCTTACTCCAACAGAAGGAGTTCCATACGCAATCTCATCATGCCAGCTAACAGCACACTGCAGGCTATCATTCAACGCCAGTCCCTTAAGCAGGAGCTCCTCATCTCTGAAAAGGAATAAAGCATGAATGTCAATCATTAATTTAGAAGATCAAATACTTGTCAAAAATCAGGGCCATATTCTTACACAGTATTGTTCACAAGAACCATGACACGCTTTTGGTAAGAACGGCATTGGTCAACAAGGTCAACTATCACCTCTTGCTTTACACCCTGCCACAAAATTCAAATATAGAACAACTGAATATGACTGGACAGAACGTGTGATGTTTCTAACAAAACAAGGGGAGCACACTTTTGATTTAAATCAAAAGAAGATCAAAAGGCCAAAATACACATGAAAATCTTCATGAAGTTCAGTGATTCAAAAGTATAATCAAACGAATCAGATGACAAAGCATCGGCTATGGGAAAAATTGGCCACACTAACAACTGTAAGACTATGGGTCTGAATATGAGGGTAGTTATTTTATGCACTATGGTGCCAAAGATTATAACTGTATCCAGTCCACCATTTCTAATACCCTCAATCAACATGATGACAATTGAGTAATGACCAATGTTACGTGAATCGTGGATCACTTTGGTACATAGTACAGGTACGCAATACAACAATTTCTTAGATACGTGATGCGATGGGGGTAGGCTTAGCTAATATGGTGTTTTGGAACTTTTATCTAGATCGTTTTCACTACTATACAACATTATATATCATAGAATATCCATAGACACAAAGTTAGTTACCATTTATCTTACAATTATGCTCAATTTTCTACTATCTAAAATAATATATAATTATCTATCATTATATTTATATACAGGTAGTCAATTAATATGTATATTATATTTGTGTTACATGTTCCAAAACGAATCAATTTAGGGTTAGTATTACAATTTGAAATTGTACATTTTGGTGATTTGGACTGCGAACCCACTTCGTTTGAGATCGATGTACCCAGTTCATAAGTCGTCAACAGTTTAGTAAATTCTAGTAACTATTGTAATGACCTTTTTCAGGCACTAATCATGTAGATCCTTTCAACAATAACAATATTAACTAACGCTTTTCCAACCAGGTTCTTAGAAATATCTATTTTATCTCTCATTCAATTTCCAAAGAGATAATTGTTATCCAAATGAGCAATTTATGTGGACTCTATCCGCTTTCACTCTGATCTCACCAACTATGCCACCGCACCTCATCAAATAATTTGATACAAGATTTTAGAGTAGCATCCATGTGAGCTATCACTTACTAAACTTGCACAAAGCTACTTCTTCGTGTTTTGAAGCCTTCAGCCATAAGAGGAGAGTGTCTAGCAAAACCAACACGTGCTAACACAAAAATTAAGATAATTTTATACTTTGATTCACTCTAGTTTTGCCAACCACAGAACTAACCAGAACAAAAGAAGGCCATAAACTATGAGAGTGATTTGACATACATTAGTCAAATATGAGAGAACGAAACACTCTGCTGATCACATAGAACATCCATATCATTACTTTGTGTGATCCAAACATATCTATAGACTTCATAGAAGAGCCTAAGCCAAAGCCAAATTTCTTATATGCATGGAGACTTCAAAAATAGTTCACATGATCTAATCATTGACTCCAATAATAAATACAATTAAAAGCACTGAAGAGGTAACAACAAGCTTGTTACTAAAATTTGGTAACACCCTAATAAAGCAAAATCGTATAAAAATAACAACTTAACATAGGCTAGTTTGCAAAGCTTTTGAGAAATAAACAATAGAGGCTTTGCTTGGTTAGGATAGTTACTACAATCTTGTTAATAATTTGTTTTCTTATCATTGTTGTACATTCCAAGAAAAACCTCAGCAGATGCAAAGTGCATACTCTGTGTGTGCGTGTGAGTGTACGAGAGAGAGAATATGAACACAAAAAAATAATTAGCATAACCACTCATAAGCCTACATTTGTATTTTGGTTATGGGAACAACCAATCCTAATCCTGTTATTGAAAAGAAGAATTAGAATTATAAGCAATTTCTATTTACTCAAGATAAATGGAATTTCGTAAAACAAACAGTTCTACCCAGCTGAACAATCAAACAACTTAGAAAAAGGGAATAAGAAAATTCTTATTCTAATTAAAGAGTTAAATGAAATAGTTCTAACCTCACGATTCTGAGGACCCAAGGCACCAAGCATTTCCAATAACACGTCGGCTAGTCCCTGAGCATTTTGAATCTCTAGCAAGCTGCATTACAAACCAATCTTGAGAACTACAGAAATGTAACTATGTTTAGTCAATGACCTAAAGGGTAAAAAATCCATTAGGAAATAAATTGTTGTTAGGTGCTGGTAGTGTTTGGGATGACTCTAGAAAGTGCTTTTTCGACTTATAACTTACCATAAACACTTAAAAAAAAAAAAATTGTGTTTAGAACCACTTATTTAGAGTACTTTGTAAAAAGTAGAATTTGTTTTAACACTTAAATAAGTGAATAAGCAGAAGTTTAAAAAAAATGAAGGATCTAAATCTTTAGAGTTTAGGGTTTAATAAAAGGAAAATTTGGAAGCCAATCCCTAGACTTATTTGGTGATAAATCCATCAAGCAAACTTGTTTAATATTAAGTCCATTTTGATCTCCATTGTCCAAAATACCCTTAGTAGTTAAGTTTAATTAAAACAAATTTGAAAACTAACAACTACTAAATTTTAGCAGTTTGACTAACATTAATATAGAATAGGACTATATATCTATACATACATATAGTGACATTAAAAAAAATAGTAACATTTAAACATAAAAAATAGTATCATTCAAACACAAAAAAAAGTAGTAACATTTAAACACAAAAAAATAATAATATTCAAAAACAAAAAAATTAATAATATTGAGTCTTAATATTTGAAAAAATAACAATAGTAACATGCTCAATAAAAACAATAACACGAACAGTAATATGCCCAATAAAAACAGTAAAATCCTCACAAAAATAGTAACATGGAGAGTAACATGGTAATATATATATAGTATTAGTTGTTCTTTGAATTTAAATTTCAAATTTATATAAAAAAATTTATTCACATATCTTCATTGATAGTGAATTAAGAGATAATAATTCTCAAGTTAGGAAACTAATTTAAAGTTGATTTCAAGGAAGGATATATTGGAGTTTTAAAAAAATAATGGACTTAACTACTTATTAGTAAGATTAAAAACAGACTTATCCCCAAATAAATTTCTTTAACGGACTAAACTCATTATAAGTCTCTTAAGGAGGATTCAGCCCCAAATTTCACTTAATAAAATAACTTCTACACATAACACTCTACAACTAATATATGCATGATAGTAAAATGGAAAATATTTTCCCCAGGAACTACACATTCTTACAATTATCCTCCGACTTTTATATATGTGACATCACAAGGCTCCCCCAGTCTAGGACAGGTGAGTGGTAGATAGTCTTATCATCAGTTTGTAAAGAGTGATTCCCAGACTCAAACCCGCGATGTATCGCAGAGGATGAGCACTTGCAATCAATTCATGTCGGTCCTCTTTATGGATATGATACCAGCAAGTGTATCGGGAGAGGAGGAAAAAGTTTCTTAATTTCAAGACAATTGTGGATGCATTTGAAATTGTTTCAGGTTTGAAAAAAAAAATTAGAAAAAATGTGATTGTGGGTATAATTTCAATCCTGAGAAGGTCAATAGGTTAGCTAATATTTTTGGGTGCCCAATAAGAGAATGGGAATCCATTATCCTTAGCTTTTTGGCACCCTGTCATTGAAAAGTGAAAAAGAGATTAGATAAGTGAAAGAGAGATTTCATTTCCAAAAAGAGTAGATTGATTTTGGTCTAATCCCGTATACTTTTTGTCTCTTTATCAAATGTCAAGCAGTGTTGTTCATAAGATTAAAAAAATAATAAGATATTATTTTTCCTGGGAAGAGACTGGAAAAGGGAACAAAGATCATTTAATTAATTGGGAGGTGATTTTCATATTCTAAGGTTAAAGGGGGTCTTTTAGTGGAAATTTGAAATAAGAAATGTGGCCTTAGTTGGGAAATGAGTTTGGAGATTTCCTTTGGAACAAAATCCTCTATTGCATGTGGTTTTTTTTACACCAATTATTGTTTGTAACCTAATGGATATGTTGCTAATACAGTTGCGGGAAAGTTTTCGACGTCCTTTTAAATTTATATCTTAGTATTTACCTCAATTTTCTCTTAATGTCAATTTTATTGTAGGAAATAGAGAGAGAATTCCTTTTTTGGGAAAATGTCTGGTTAGGGGTATGCCAGTCAACAGATCGAATATGGACCGAAATTTGTCATATTTGAATCCGAATTCAATTATAATTTATGTGATCCGATACGATTTGTTTATTTGACGAATTTAAAATTTTTAATCTATATCCGAATCTATTAACTTTCGAATATCCGGTCTGCAAATACAGTCCGTTCCGTTTATATACAAAGAAATATCAACCTACAAAAATCTCACAAATTCAACTCCATAATGAAAAAAATATAATACTTACTCCTTTGAAGGCTTAACAAGCAACATAAATTAAATCTATTAACCTCAATTTCAATTATAGATAGGGAAGAAGAAGACAATATGGAAAAAATGCGGTAGACAAAACGATGTCAGTGGATATAAACTCACGGCCAGTGAAATATAAAAATATAACGTATATATACAATTCAGATCGGATTTTTATATATCCAAATCCATTAAACATAACACAACAAATTCAGATTCAGATTCGGATAGTCGATAAATTTATCAATCCATATCCAATTAATCGGATTCGGATCAAAATTCAATTCATTGACAGGCCTAGTTAGAGGATCTTTTGTTTCCTTGTCTCTATCGAGTTTCTCGGGCTCATAATATGTATATCATTTCTTTGATTTGATCGAGTTCAAATTTGTTATCTTGGAATTTTGGGATTCGTAGGAATTTAAATAATAGAGAAACTCTTGATTTGACTTCACTTCTTTTCTTACTCAATGATGTTCACATTGATCAAGAGTTTCTTGATAAAAGAAGATAGACAATAGAGTCATCCAGGTATTTCTCGTGTAAATCATTCTTCGGGTCCCTTGATTGATGATCCTTCTTTTTCAATTTTTCCCCCTCTTTGATAATTTGGAAGGCTAAAGTTCCAATTTAGTTGGAGAGAAATGCTCAAATTTTTCAAGATAGAAATGACATGGTTGATGGTTTATGGAACCGTACCTTTTTTTCGGCATCCTTTTGGGCCTCAATCACGAAAGATTTTGTGGGTATTCCACTTCTGTATTTTTGCTGGATGGAGGGCTGTTTGTGATTTATAGACAACCCAATTTTGGTAGGTTTTGTCTATTATGTTTTTTTTCCTTTGTATTATAATTTGTGTCATTGTGGTTGGATCTCTTCTCCAAATTTTCACCTTATGTCATGTTTTTGATAGTATTAATAAAAATTTTGATTCTTATCAAAAAAAAAAAAAAAAGTAACTGACCTAGTACCTAATGCATGCACAAACACACCAGCATTAGGGGTCGCAGATATTGCAACAGCATGGAGATAATGGGATGAGGTTACAAGAGAAGTACTCGGGTGAATGTTAGTTAATGATGGATAGGTAGCAATGAAAAGATTGCAGATGCAGTAGAGTAGTACAATTGCTTGTGGAATTCACCCATGGCAACAGGTCTACCCATCGACATAGTGATTCTTTGGCTACTCTATCTTTCAAAATCATGCTGTTGCATGCTAAAATATGGAATACAAGTTCAGGGGAGGCATTTAGAGATTAAATGATACAGTATTTTAAATTGATATATTCCCTGGGATTAATCATTGACCTGAAAACACTAACTGAAGCTAATTTATCATTTTGAAAAAACGGGAGGCCACCTAAGAAGTTATGGAGGATTTGGGCACACCATTCAACAGGATTCCTAAGGGAGTGCACTGAAACCAGACATTTCCTATCAAAAAAAGTTGACAGAACCACAGGATTAAAATGTTCAACGAAACTGAGTTTCTACACCATAATTAGTTCATTAGAGGATCATTTACAACTGGAATTTAGATTAGCAAAACTAAAGTGCAATGCTTTATCAAAATGAGAACAAAAAAGAAACATAACAAGCTTCAATAACATAAATGTGCATTGAAGGAACTCAGTCAAGTAATGGGAAACTGGTATTACGCTATACCTGAGCCCAGAAGCATCAGATTCAAGAGAGGCCTGAACAGCAGCTTCCTCGTACACTGAAGGAGGGTGAACTAAAGGATGGGTTTGTGGCGGAGTAAACAATGGTACACTGTTTTCTTCACGTGGTGGAAATTCCACTCTGGCAGACTGTAAGAATTGAATAAAAGCTAATTGGATGATTTTTAGTCAAAGAAAACCAGAAAAGTTTATGAAAAATAACACGAACACAACTAAAATGAGAGTCAACCCCAGACTAAAATTGAGTTCACTAAATTACCATAAGTATACACAGCAATAAGAAAATTGATGGAGACATAATAGCATACATAAGCCAATAGTCCTTTATTGACTAAAATTAGGCAAGGAGAAAAATATAACGCAAAAATGGTGCACACAATAAGTTTTAAGTCCATCAGTAGGGGAATGTGCTCAAACTAGTTTGAAGATTGAAACAACCTTTTTGGAAGAACCTCAATAGATATCTTTATGCAGATAACAAAGACAAAGGCTAATTCTTTTTTCGTTTATCTCATCAATACTTCTTGAGTGTTCTGCCATTCATGAAATTAATTCTTACCGTTGCTTCTTAACTCAAAAGAAACAAGAANATCAAAAAAAAAAAAAAAAGTAACTGACCTAGTACCTAATGCATGCACAAACACACCAGCATTAGGGGTCGCAGATATTGCAACAGCATGGAGATAATGGGATGAGGTTACAAGAGAAGTACTCGGGTGAATGTTAGTTAATGATGGATAGGTAGCAATGAAAAGATTGCAGATGCAGTAGAGTAGTACAATTGCTTGTGGAATTCACCCATGGCAACAGGTCTACCCATCGACATAGTGATTCTTTGGCTACTCTATCTTTCAAAATCATGCTGTTGCATGCTAAAATATGGAATACAAGTTCAGGGGAGGCATTTAGAGATTAAATGATACAGTATTTTAAATTGATATATTCCCTGGGATTAATCATTGACCTGAAAACACTAACTGAAGCTAATTTATCATTTTGAAAAAACGGGAGGCCACCTAAGAAGTTATGGAGGATTTGGGCACACCATTCAACAGGATTCCTAAGGGAGTGCACTGAAACCAGACATTTCCTATCAAAAAAAGTTGACAGAACCACAGGATTAAAATGTTCAACGAAACTGAGTTTCTACACCATAATTAGTTCATTAGAGGATCATTTACAACTGGAATTTAGATTAGCAAAACTAAAGTGCAATGCTTTATCAAAATGAGAACAAAAAAGAAACATAACAAGCTTCAATAACATAAATGTGCATTGAAGGAACTCAGTCAAGTAATGGGAAACTGGTATTACGCTATACCTGAGCCCAGAAGCATCAGATTCAAGAGAGGCCTGAACAGCAGCTTCCTCGTACACTGAAGGAGGGTGAACTAAAGGATGGGTTTGTGGCGGAGTAAACAATGGTACACTGTTTTCTTCACGTGGTGGAAATTCCACTCTGGCAGACTGTAAGAATTGAATAAAAGCTAATTGGATGATTTTTAGTCAAAGAAAACCAGAAAAGTTTATGAAAAATAACACGAACACAACTAAAATGAGAGTCAACCCCAGACTAAAATTGAGTTCACTAAATTACCATAAGTATACACAGCAATAAGAAAATTGATGGAGACATAATAGCATACATAAGCCAATAGTCCTTTATTGACTAAAATTAGGCAAGGAGAAAAATATAACGCAAAAATGGTGCACACAATAAGTTTTAAGTCCATCAGTAGGGGAATGTGCTCAAACTAGTTTGAAGATTGAAACAACCTTTTTGGAAGAACCTCAATAGATATCTTTATGCAGATAACAAAGACAAAGGCTAATTCTTTTTTCGTTTATCTCATCAATACTTCTTGAGTGTTCTGCCATTCATGAAATTAATTCTTACCGTTGCTTCTTAACTCAAAAGAAACAAGAAATAAGCGTCAATCATTGCATTTAGCTGTAAAATGAAAATCCCAGACAAAAACTCAAGAGACAAAAATGTTCCAAAATCAGCATTGGCTTATTAGGATCAGATTTGCATGTCCCACAGTAGTCTTGATTTTATACACATTGTATTACTGTAATGCACTCATACAACAACACCCAACACGATTTGTAGGAACCCAAAAACAACATCAAAGGAACGGACAAGTCAGAAATAAATCTATGCACCTCTAATAGAGAGGCCAAACATTGAAACACCTTGCAGTTTTTCTGTGACAAAGTCCAACTACTGCAGAAGATTTTAAGCATTCTAAGATGAACTCAACATCTAAACAACCCAGTTGTCAACCACAAAAATAACTTCACATGCAGGAGTTAGCCTGAAAGCTACAGAGTCATGCACACACAAATCTAAGAGTAAGAACTAATAATATTTATACCGTTCCTAAATTCTCTAAACTTTTTGAATGTCATCAGGACAAGTTCTGTCACTCACTCGTTTATACACCCAATTTCACCTCCACTGCCATTTCATGGTTCCAGCCTAACAAAAATTTCTTACCATCCTGGTTATGTGAAGCTACATCTCATTTAGATCATATGTTATATACTAATAATCCCAAGCAGAGTACATTTGAACTTACATCCCCCTAAATCTCTTTGCATCAGCCTTCAAATTTTCATCATCGTTACCCTTAGGTTTATAGAAAATATGTCTGCTGTAATAGTGCCAGAAACAACTCTGGCCCATCTCAGATGATTCAGTTCAAAGTTGAATACGAATTCTATGACTATTAGGGCATAGACTGGATCCATTTAGATTGATTCAAATTAAACTCATCATATACAGTAATAATAAGTTTGTTTACCATAAAATTTTTATACGAGGAAACTTTTAATCTCATCATTTACGATTGCCTGAGTAATGGATTGAAATTCCAAATCCCAAAACACAGTCTTTTGTCTTGAATAGAAATCCAAAAGGCATCCTCTGTGAGCTCATAGCATAAAGTCTTGGCAGCTGCCACCTAGGATCATCAGTATTGATGCAGGACCATACAGTTTTGATGCAACTATTAACTATTTTGGTCAGGATTAGTCGAAGCATGATGAAGCGTTGATCATAAGTCTAGTTGATAAAGGTTCTGGAATGGAAAAAGGGGTTTTGGTGTCAGTTTAGTAGTTCAGGGGCTGTGAACAGTACATGTCAACAGTGAAAACAGATTCAAACGGTGTCAAAGCTCTGAAAATCTCTTTTCCCAAAAAAAAATCTCTTGTGGGCTAAATTTCTTGTCCACCTATTTGTACTTATCAAAATAATGAAAAACTTAGAACTATTTCCGTGTATATATAGCTTCCAAGAGATCGTCTACAAATGTTACAAGTCTAACCAAGGATCAAAATTTCGTTTCGAAGTACCGTTTCGGTCAACTCAAAAATAGAAACGTTTCGGAAACGCAATGGAAACGCAGAAAAAATATAGAAACGCATAGAAACACAAATACAATCCATTAATTTATAAAAATATGCTAAATAATTGATTAATTCAATATATTTATTAGGTTAACATCAATTTATACAAGAATAAATTTAAATTTGAGGGAAAAAAAGGCTTGACATGAGGCGAAAGTCACTTAAATTAGTTTCAAACACTTAATTTTTATGAAATAAACACATTTTTACATAATATTAAGGTCTTATAATACACATGAAATGCTAATGAGTACATACTTACATGGTTACATCCATCCCCCTGTGGAGTGTCGAGCAGGCTCATACATCGGTGTAAGCTCTGGATAGTTACTTAGAGAAACTCCATATGTGACATAAATATGATGACAATAGTTACTCCAAATCATATTATTACGGTAATATTATCCAATTAATAATACTATTTTATTATAATACTAATAATGAAGGGTAT